AGACCTAGCTTTATATGTTTATAAACGCAAAGCAATGTCTCAAACCCTATATAGGGCAGAGGTTTAGAATTTGCATAGAAGTAATTCTTGAGAGCTTTAATGGATTCACCTAAGTGATATATTATGGTTAGCTTAGAGACCTGTATGTTAAATATGGCAAGTCAAATAGACAAAAGAATTTTATGCTATTGAATTAAGGTGCAACAGATGGATAAGAATAGATTGCCTAAACATGTTTGATTGAAATGACCAATGGATAACTTATTAAAAATTAGATATATCACACTGCTCAACTTATGGTTAAACACTGTCTCGTACTGGCTGAGCTGAAGGATCTCCCATTAAGGCATAAAGAAAAAATATTGCTAAGTGAACTATAAGTGTTACAGTTACTCAAAAGGACTTAAATTGTGCTAATACAGTGGTACCTTGGCTCACGAACTTAATCCGTTCTACAACTCTGGTCGCTACCCAAATTGGTCGTGAGCCAAGTCAAACTTCCCCATAAGATTCCATGTAAATAAGGTTAATCCGTTCTGTAAATATTTTTCTAATCACAAAAAATTTAAACAAAGTAACAAAGTACAGTACAGTAGAGAACACTAACCTAGGTGGCGGGGAGGTTATTGTTTGGAGGGAGAGTCCAAACGATAATCGTGCGATAGAGATAGTGCTGGGGGGAGAGAGATGGCTGTGCTCGTGATCGTGCAGGGAAGACAGGCACAATCGCGATCACGGGGGGGGGGGAGGGGGGTGCGGGGGGGGGGGGGGGGGGAAGGGGGGGGGGGGGGTGGGGGGGGGGGGGGGGGGGGGAGACAGGCACGATAGTGATCATGATCATGTAGGGAAGACGGCCACAACTGTGATCGTGTTCGTGCAGCGACATGACCACGATCATGGTTGTCACCCAATGCAGAGTTTGCGAACTGAGGCAAATTTTTTCTGAAATTTCTGTTCGTGAGCCAAGGTACCACTGTATATTGATGTGTGCACCACTGTATATTAAATGTAAAGAGACCTGTGAACATATGGATTATTTTACTCTACCAACATTTGTACAACTCCAAAAAGAGTTCAGATTTAATATAATGGATATTGCTTATAGAGATGGGAAGCATGGATGTATCTGAATAAACAAGAGTACATTTATTGATGGTTGGCCTGAGCCAGAGGAACTTATTATATTTTGTGCTGGCTCTCATACAAGAACCAAAGAAATGGTTTGTTGCACCTTTGATTGTACACGTTTCTTATCAAAAACCTTTAGATACTATGCTTTATCTCCTAGTCTCCACATGGATATATGTGACCTGGTATGCAGCTCTCTTTCCAACTGCTGCCAAGAAGATGAAAAAGGAATATATGACAGACGCAGCTACCTATTGCAAAGGAGATGATCATATTCTATATTTGGATTTATATTATATCAGCTATAGTTAAATATTTGTTTTTATATTTTAAAATTTCATATGTTGGTTATCTTATGTTTATTTTTTGGTATTTTATAGTCTCTGTATTAATTTTATACAAAGGATGTTGGCCAAAAGAAATAAATTTGGTTGGAATGGATACTTGGCTATAAGTCCACCTCAGTCAATGGGACGACTTTCTAGCAAAAATGTACAGGATCACAGGATCAGGCTACAGGCAGTCGTACCTCCTATGAATCAGAACTAGTGGGACTTCAAAGTATGTCAGTTGCTAGGAGTACCACTAGTTGAAAAAGCACTGAACCCCATGATTTTGGGAGCTATCGTAAGCATCTATGTGTGCTATTTTGCTGAAAAGCCTTTCTAGCTCCATTTGGATCAGGAGAATTGGTACCTCCACACCTCCACGGTAGTCAGCATTTCCTGGGCCTTTAAGCATCAAACATGTCTCTGAGTACAGTACTGGTGTTTATGTTCATGAATAAGAATGAAATTACCATTCAGTATTGCTATCTGGCTAAGCAGAAGCAACTGAACTCTGCATGGTTCGTAAGTCAGGAAGGACTACATAAACAAAAGAGAACTGACCCGACCCCATCTGTAAATATTTTGAAAACATTAATGAAGAGAAAGTGGATATTTGGATTAGCTGCCTTATGTAAAAAGAAACAATCCCTCCTCCCCTCAAAAACCTGCCCCCCCCTCAAACCCCAGCACAATTATGCATGTTTATGCAGAAACAAAAATATGCAGAAAGTGTTCAATGAAACATGCTTCCAGAGAAGTAGGAATGCAATGTCATGTGTACAAGCCTAAGTCTATATGTCATATTTCCAAAGGTCAAAGTTTGGGATTTGTTACTTAATCCAACTTTCTTAGATCCGACGGTTTTTAATGCTTCTAGCCCTCATGACAGCAAGGCAGATGTGTAAGCAATGCATAGTGAAATCTTATCAGCCAAAGAGGTGGGTGAATATGTTTTCCTGCACAGCTTATTAGTAAGAGTTCCTTACCTGTTTCTGTGACTAAAATAGCTTCTTTCACAAGTCTCTTTTGGTGGCATTATAATCCCCAATATATTTTAGTGTATATTAAGTATTGCATACCCATGATTACAAGAAAAAATGTATATATTATACAAATGCTTGATAGTACAAAAGACAGTAAACAGAACAAGACAGAAAGAGTTAATAATATCCAAAGGACTGCATACTCGGTGTTGGAGCCAAGATCTGTCTTCCACTGAGGAAAGGGCTCCATTCATGGAAGATGACTCTGCCAAATTTTAGAGGATCCCCTTTTTCACACAACACATCTCACCCCTGACCCTTTGTACAGTATTTTCAGGGGGCTGCATAGGCTTCCATGGGAAGGAAGAGGCATGGAACTCCATTTCTATCAGCCAACTTGCATGCTCACAGTTGCACTAGTTAAGAACCCATATAATTCAATTCACTGAAATCTATGTATTGCTAGCCACTAAGGGGGACCTGTTCATTACTAATCTATCTACTGATATAAACCACCTTCAAATTAAATGCCTATCAGTGTAATCATGTTCAGGCACATCTGGAGAGCTGGTAAGTCAGGATAGCAACGTTTTCAGAATACCCCCAACTAAACAAAGTGAAATAGAACTGTCATGTCAATATTAGTGCAAGTTGCCTCTGAAAGTGCAGTGTGCAGTATGAAATGCATAAACTCAAATGACCCATCCAGACTATCACCCTAGAGCATACACTTGAAAAATACAGCTGCAGTTCACAGCACAGCCAGATGTGTATACAAACCCAAAGTCAACAACTACAGAGCAGTCCATATATTGACCTTTCCTACAATGCACAACCATCTGCACCTGGACAGTCTATTAAGGAAAAAAAGAGTTATCCGAAGAACAAACCATTTTTCTATCATACCTTGCTTTTTTTAAAAAAAAACTATTTGACATATTGAGTCAGATGACTCTAAAAACAACCTCCCATTTTGCTGTTCTTTATATACTGCCACTATAAATAAAAGGTGGGGGAATACTCCGGCAACAACAGTTAAGCAACAGCAACACACAGGATAAAACAGATCTAACCCAGTGTCATTATGTCTGCTCTTCTTTCTATGAATAGACTCTGCCGTCAGCTTTAGAAGAAAGCATAAAAGTCAAACCATATTTACTCTGTCCTTCAAAATTCCATTTCTATTAATATGTACAACTGACACTTCCAATTTGCATTAAACTGTGTGCATTTTTCCAGATGAAAAGTGTAGTCATAGCTGCAGCTAGGTGAAAGTAACTTATATTCCAATCCATGCAAGAACATAGCACAATTAAACGGCGCTCTTTCACAGGTTCCCAAGACCTTCAAAATCCAGTTTCATATACCCGCACATACCCTTTAAATAGCATGTCTTCTTTCCCTCATACTTGCAATAAAAAAAGATTCAGTTTGTTAGTATCCAACAGTTTAACTACGTCCACAAATGCGGTTATGCAGTGCATACTCCTTCTATACTAAGAAATAATGCAGCATGCCCTCAAGTGTACACTAACAAAGTGCAAGGTGGTACACCCAGTCATCAAATGTGCATATTACAGATGTGAAAAACTGAAATGCATGCACAAGCCTCACACATGTCAGCATATCCTCCAGATATCCTGTAGCACATAGCGACTGGTCATATGGTCATCAGCACACAATATCAAACTTGAAACACTGATTTATGCATCTTTGTATTTTTTTTTTAAAAGACGCCTATTCTCCCAGGTTCGATGGCATAGCTAAAGCAATCCTGCAAAGGAACTCAACAGTACTCTCTGTCCTATATATCTGCTCTAAGCAGGTGTAATGAAAGGGTTTCTGAAGTGTTGGAGGTTTCCCCTTCGTCAGAGCGATACAAGGCTTCCACAGTACACTGCTGGGGGAGGTTGACCTCAGAAGATGCCTGCCCTCTGGGCTTCCATACAGAGGGGTTTGGGGGGCAAGGTATGGATGATGTACCTATTTCTGTGGCTACTGAAGACAGTGGGGTGCTTGTGCACCTGTATCATTTGTTCTACAGATCTGAAAAGTAAGTGTGGATCTGTATAATAGCGTGTCATGAGATGCGGTGGAGGTGGGTGAGGGGAAACCTATAATTCCTCCTGTTCTCCCCAATGGATCAAGTCAAGAGATTAGCTGCTGCCTCCCCCCCCCCCCTCCGCGCGTGCCACAATTTAGAATGGGGAGATATTTCTTGAGCAGGGAACGGATTATTAGAGCGGCAATCTTACATTGCATGCTTTGTCACACAGCCCCGAACTGAAGCACATCCTGTAAACCTATGGTTCACACTTCTCAGTTCACACTTTTGCACCTCTTTTATGCAAAGAGATGCAGCTGGAGCAGGACGGACGAGAAGCTCGCTTTTCAAGCCGATTCCCCGCAGCAGGCACCACCTTTCTTCCTTTCCAGCAGCAGCTGCCAGCTTCGGTCGGAAAGAACGGCCGCCCGCCCGCCCGCGCGCTCTCCTTCCCTCCTCCCCTGGTACCCAAACTGGACGGCCAGAGCGATGGGGGCGGAGGGGCGCGACACTCACGTTCCCAAGGTCTCCTTGAACTCGAAGATCTTGTTGATGTCATCGGCTTGTTTCTTCCAGGAGGAGCTGTCCTCGCCGTTCTCCTGGGCCATGGCAGCGGCAGCAGCACCCGGCGGAGAAGGCAGGAGCCAACCGGGAGAATAGCGCGAGGAGAAGGAGGAGGAAAAAAAGGAGGAGGAGGAAGAGGAGGAGGATGCTCTCAAGCGAGAGCGGGAGAGAAGCGCAGCCTGGGCGGCTTTTGCTTTCTCTTCGGGCGCTTCCTCTTTCCCCTCGCTGGCTCCCTCCTCTCCCTCGAAGCACACTGACTTCCTGGTTACTGCCGCGCTCGTGCTGCCTGCTTGCCAGCTTCCCCCTCGCTCAACTTGGGCTGCGCTTTCTTTTCCTTAGCTTCTTTTTAACCCTCCTTCTTTGGCTCTTTTCCCTTCCTCCTGTTCTAAACTGAACTTTCCTTCCTTCTTCTGAATTCTTGCCCCCCCCCTCCCCGTCCTGGCTTCCTTTATCAGCTCGGTCCCTTTACACCGTGCTTCCTCTCCTTTTACACTTTTCGCGTACTTTCATTCAACCCTTTTACGTATGTGTGTATGGCTTGGATTGTTAAAACGCGCACTCACGCAAGCAACTCACAAACGGCTTGTAGCAGTTTAAGTTCAGCAGCAGCAAATAGAAACATACAACGCACCACCAAAAAAAGCCTCCCACAGCTCAGCTGAGAGGAAGCTTTTGCCTTCTGCTTTAACTGACTCCCCCCCTACAGGAAACCTCACGTTTGCTTTATTTTATACCCACCCCCAGCACCTTGCTGAGTTCCCCTTTCGGCGATTCTCTGTCAGCAAACAGTGAAATTTACCAAGCAAGCCTGTCGATAAAGTGACTGTGCGTGCGTGCATGGATGTGTTTGCGTACGCGCGCGCGGGAGACAGAGAGACTGAGAGTATGGAGTCTTGCCTCAGGCGGCGGCGGCGGCGGCGGCTGCCGCTGCTCTTCCTAGCTAAGAGGGATTTCAGCGACACGTTTGGCTGTAGTTCGTTGTTATGGTAATCGGAGGGCGGGGACAGAGTGAGGAAAAAGCTATCTCTACAACCCTGCACCTCCTCCAGCCCCCTTCGCTGTCTTCTGCTTTCGGCTTCTTAAGTCTCCCTTCGAAATGACTCGAGGCAAATTCGCATTGCAGCAAAAGGACGCGCGTCAAGATTAACACCGCCCCGACACACATACACCCACACACCACTTTCTCTGGTGCCTCGTCGCGGCTCTTTTTGCCAAATGTGCGCGTCCCGACAGGGCGGGAGAAAGCCCCGGCAGCGACGTGGATTTCACCCCCTCCCTCCCGGGAAGGCCGGCTGCAGCCGCGCGCTCCTCTTCCCTTCTGGCAAGCTGAGACTAGAGTACAGTGCAGCAAGGGCAACAATGCGACAGCCCAGCCGGGAGCTCCTCCGCATTGGAGGGACTCGCTTGCCAAGGAGCGGGCGGCCACGGCCCAGAGAAGCCTTGCATCCAGGACAGCCTGCACGCAGTCCGGACCTGCCTTGCTCACTTTTCATGCTCGAAGGGGCGGGGAAGCTGGTCCAGACGTATCTCCAAGTGGGCGGCAGGACTGGGGAGAAGGCGCAAAAAGATACCCGTGCTGCTAGAAAACTTAGCTTTGCTCCTGCTGTCTTTAGGCCTTGGCTGTGGAGATTCTGAGCTGCTCAAGGAATGGTGGGTGGGTAGTTAATATACTGTAATAATTTTAACTTTCGGGAGTTTCCCAAACACTACATTCTTTCAATGGGAAAAATAAGAGGTATAGCAGTGCACCATTACCTTTATAGATTTAGGACAGGCAGAAGAACGTTTTGGTTGCCTTTTTTCTTTTGCCTTATTTCAAAATGTTACAGAAAGGAGAACTTGATAACAAAGTAAGATTTGAATATACTGCATTCCCATAACAAACTTCATTTAAATACAAATAACTTTTCAGAATGATAATTACAGGCTACTGTTTTGAGTTGTCATTTAGTCTATAATAACCTAAAAACAAAGGTCAACTGTCTGTTATTTTATTGATCCAACTAGTAAATCATGTTTGAGTAGGTAACCAACACCGTAATATCAAATCTGCCAGCAATGCCAGGCCACCTCTGCCTGCATGCACCATATGCTGAGGAGCTTGGGCTTGCACCCATCCTGCTTGAGGTATTCTGTGGGCAGCTGGCTTGCCACCATGTGTATAGAGTGCAGGACTAGATGGGCCTTGGGTCTGATCCAGTACTGCTTTTCTTGTGTTCTTTTGATATACCAGACAATAACCTGGCTGCTTCTCAGATCTACCATGCTCTGCTCTGGTCTTCTCTGAGGCTCAAGCTCAGCTCCCAAGCACCACTTGCAGATACCAATATTTATGGAAACATATATTGGCTATTTCATTAAGAACTGGCACACTTAAGCCAGTGTTCCCCAGAGCTTACCTCAGGGGCATGCTTTCGGTAACAGGAATATATAAAGACAGACTTTGAGCATGTACAGATAATCGTTTCTCTCACCACAGCGACTATAGCCTATAGTCTACTATAGCAGTATAGTACTAGTGACTATAGTAGACTATATACTAGACAATACTAGTATACTTGAGTGCCTATAGTACATATTGGATTAGGGAATCCCAAATCAGTTGGGATTTACAATAGCCACCATGGCATGTACATGTTTCAGAACCCAAGTTTTCTTTAGCATGCTGACTTTTTCCTGAGTTTCCCTCTTTCACTTGAAAGCTGAACAGAGAAGCTGGTGCTGCTGCCTAGCTCTATCTTACTTCACTACATCTTAAAATTAAGAACAGCATCCAGTATTTAGAGCAAAGGTGGCACCCTCCAGATTTTTTTTTTTTTTTTTTGCCTTCTATTCTCATCAGTGCTAGCCAGCATTGTCAATGCTGAAGGATCCTGGCAAGCGTAAGCCCAAACATCTAGAGGGCCACCAGACTGAAGCCTGGTTCTACCTGTGCTAATAATTCAAAAATCTAAAATAATTTTAACACATGTCCAATACTTAATAAACAAGTGGGGAGATTGCCTTCCTGAATTATTTTTTCTCCTGCAATAAATGTGTTGCACTTAATTTGTTATATGAGGATCCAGAGAGCTCGTATTTCAGTAACTGTGTTGTGAATTTTTCCAATTTTCCAATTTTCAAATTACAGTATGTTGTACTGGAATTAAAAAACTGTGACCAAGCTTACACATCCTTCCTAACAATGACCATGGTGTGGAATTTGGTTGCAAAGTGTGACATAGTCATTTCTATAATGCCTCTGGCATTACAGCAGTCAGTAGCGACTCTGTAAATATATCTTTGCCATTTCAGGAAAGATTTATGGAAGTTCTGTTTCATGTATTTACTTATTAAGGCTCTGTGTTCATCTGCTGTAGCACTTAACTCCAGAGTCTTGTATCTTGTCTTTAAAAAGTGGCATACACACACCATTGTCCCAGTAGGAATGTGTGTCCCCTTCTCAAAATCCATCACTTCTAAAATCATGTATTCCATTCACAGAGGATTTGCTTGGTTTTATAATTTTTTTTAGCAAACTTTTTTTTAAATGAAGTTTCAACTTCTACTATGTTGGGACAGGTTATCATACCATTGGAAGTAGGCTTCTAGCATATGAGTTTAGCACTAAGAAAAATGTTCTGCATTTTTATCACTGAAAAGGGATTGTTTTATGTTTATTATGCAGGGCGGTAAACAAGCCAACAGCATAGACAATGCTCATAGACCATGAAACTGACCTGCTTTGTATGGAATGGAATAGCCCTTTGGAATGAAGCCACGCCTGCAGGCATAGCCTCTGCTATGGAGAGCCCATTCCCTCAAGGGAGGAGCTTCCACACAGTGGTTTGCAGTGAGAAACCATATAACTGCCCTTCAGCTTACTTCAGCCTAATGTCCCTTGCTTCACACTGTATGGGCTGCAACATTATGAAGTAATTAGATATGTTTTCCACTTAGTGAAATTAGTACTGCAGATTCCAAGTACACAGGCATTTAAATTAATAGAAATATTAATGTATTTTAAAAACAAAATAACCATCAGAGAATTTTCTAGGGTCCCCTTAGTATGCATGTCAACTTTCAAATCTTTGGGTTTCATGGTCTTAGCAATAGAGTTGAAAGACACACTTCTTTTATTATATATTAAAAGGACCTAACAGTTCAACACTAAGGTCTCTTCAACAGCACACATCTAGATGTTAAAGTTGAAACTTAAGTATTTTTCTTTATTTGGTCTCTAGTTTTGCTGGCCCTGCAAGACAAGGACATTTTGACATATTAGCTTAAAAAAAATTCTAAAACCTAGAAAATAAATACTTTTCTAAGGCTTTCAGAATTTCTAGATGACAATATTGTCATATTAGTTTGAAGAAAAGTCCAGTTTATACATGCTTGGTGACTGTTTGATCATTTGTGTGAAACAGTAATAATTGATCAGATACCAGGTACAGAATTTTTGAATCATCTTAACCACAATGTTTTCAATTGAGTAACTTCACACATTCAGCTGCAAGTAGCTCAGTGGGTAAAAGCACATACTTTGCATGCGAATGGTCTCAGGTTTAGTCTGTGACATCTGTAGTTAAAAACATCAAGAATCAGATGGTGCACATTAACTTATGCCTGAGATGTGGAGAGTTGCTGCAGTAGTCAATATTTGCTACAAAGACAAAGAGTCTGACTCAGTACCAGACAGCTTCCTGCAGGGTTGCTTGCTAAAAACAATGCAAGTGCACAACCTGGAACACTTGGATTTACACCTGCAAGGGAAACAACTGCGGTACAATATTACTGCAATCTCACAATCTGTGGCATTATGAATCATCTCAAGACAAGTCTGCAAGTACAGCACTACAGCAACAACATGGAGAATCCGGTGGTAGTATACATGTCAATGGTAGGGTGTTGTCAGGATTGAACCCAACACCTTACCATAGAGATTTCCAGTTTAGGCTCTTGGGAAGCTTCACTTGAAATAATCTCTGCTGTATTCCTTAGAGTGGAATGACCCCAATATAAATGAGTTCCATCTATACTCTCAGCAGCCACCAAAGTTATCTATTAATACCCAAGGCGTTGATACGATGCAAAATTTGACAGAATGACACAAGCATTCCTTATACAAGCATCCTATAAGCCAAGGAACCAGTGATATTGGCCCTTTTTGTGCCTAATAGGATTGCCATTGATCACCATGCTACAATGCCTGACTTGTCCCAGTTTGTCAAACCCAGGAGGCTGTTTGATTTACAAATGTTGGTGAAAACCATTGTAGATTGTAACAGCTACATAGCTCTGTAGAATACTACCCCAGT